ACAAGGCACCATCACCCTGACTCAGTCACAAATGGTGCACCAGGTCCTTCAGCGCTTCGGCTTTCGGTACTCCTCGCCACAGTCCCCTCCTCTGCCTACCGGTCACTCGCTCTCAGCTCCACCTTCGGACCAGTCCGTAGCGCCGAGTAGCCCGTATCCAGAGCTTGTGGGCTGCCTCATGTACCTGATGACCTACACTCAACCTGACCTTGCCTACCCTCTTAGCATCCTGGCACGCTATGTTGCGCCCGGGAGACACCGACCAGAGCACAGGGAGGCTACTAAGAGGGTGTTGCGCTACTTGTGCAGTACATCGGGCATGGGGCTCGTGCTTGGAGGATGGGGTCCATTTGTCCTCACTCGACACGTAGACGCGTCTTGGGTTGACGACTTGGCTACGCAGCGGTCATCACAGGGTTACACTTTCAGCCTTGTCTCCAGCTCTGTTTCTTGGTGGTCTACGCGCTCGTTTTCTGTTCTCAGTTCTAGATGTGAGGCTGAGATCTACGCAGGGGCTATGGCTGCACAGGATTTATGCTGGCTCAACTACCTGCTGACCGACTCAGGAGAGAGGCCTCGTTCTCCTCTAGTTCTGTACGTAGACAACAAGGCCCTGATTGCCTTGTGTCAGGAGCACAGACCAGAGCACAGGACGAAGCACATCGCTCTGCGTTACTTCCTTACTCGAGAGTTGCAGCAGCGTGGTCAGCTTCGTCTTGCTTACGTGGCCACTCGGGCCATCACTACTGATATATTGACTAAGGCACTTCAGCCTGGTGATCATCAGCGTTTCTGTACTGTTTTAGGCCTTGTGCCTACTTTGCCCCACTTACTCACTGCGTGACTTTGCTTGTACTGTGATCTATATATATACCTGCATGCTTACACTTGCTAGGCTATGATCACTGTATTGTTTGTTCTCTTTGATATAACTCTGCATGTGAATTGGCCTTGTGGCCATTTGCTTGTGCTAGGAATGTGTGGTGACTTCGTGATCCACCCTGTGCTTGCTTTGCTTTTTTTGACTGGTCTTGTGACCCCCTGTTCTCCCCCACTTTGCCTATGGGGGTGTGTCAAGATGTTATAATGCTTATATTGTGTAGGCTGTAGTGGGGTAGCCCATAAGGGGTACAACCCAATTAGGGTTAGTACTTGTACCAAATTTCTGCGCAATGCATTCATTCTCGTTCTGTTTCTTGACAGGGGGAACACCCCTCAAAGAAGGGAGTGCGAGGAGTGCCACGAGCAGCACCTACAGCGACTATGCTAGTCTCAGCTGCAAGGAGGTGCTTCTCGAGCAGGTTAACTGTGAGGTCCGTGGGGTCAAGAGCGAGAAGGAGGTCCTTGACTGCGCTAAGAGAGTCGGGGGCGCAGGTGACGATGAAGAAGAGAGTGATGTACATGGGGGGGGGGGGGGGGGGGGGGGGGGGGGGGGTTCTTATCTAGAAACTTGGTTTTAAGCGCGGCGCGGTAGCGAGTGTCGCTAGTGCGAAGGTGGGTGATGAGGTCGTCGACTGTCGGAAAGGCTGACAGCTCGGGAAAAAGGAAGGGCAGGATAATTCGGCCGAGAGCAGTAATGGCAGGGGAGGAGTAACGAGCGACTACAGCATCGAACAATGCTTTAGCATTCTTGTGCTGGCCAAAGTGCGCGCGTTTGGCTAACGGCAGGTGGTTGGGAATGGCTAGGTGAGCAGTAGCGTCACGGGTAAGCCACTGTGAGCGAGTCGCACTGTCAGCTGTCTCGGAAGGAGCGAGAGAGGTCCCAGACGTGTGGTTAAACAAGGAGACGCCGTCCCTAGACTCGCTCTGTAGGTACAGCTGTAAGTCATCTAGCCAGGTCTCAAACTGGATCAGACAGCCCTCAGGATCGAAGGTGAGAACATTGAAAGAAGCCATAGCGGGCACAGCAGGTTGGCGCGCGACGAGTAGGGCAGCACGCAGGCAAGGCAGGGCGGCGCGCAGGCTGCAGGACAGCGCGACGGGCAGGGCGGCGTGCGGGCACTAGGGAAGCGCGCACGGCAGGGCGGGGCGGCGCACGGCCAGGAAAGGGCGGCGCGCGGCTAGTGCAAGGCGGCGCGTAGGCAGGGCAGGGCAGTGCGGCGGCCAGCAGGGCGGCACGGCGGCCAGTAGGGTGGCGCGCGGGCAGGGCAGGGCGGCGCGGCGGCCAGCAGGGCGGCGCGCGGGCAGGGCAGGGCGGCGCGGCGGCCAGCGGGGCGGCACGACAGGCAGGGCAGGGCGGCGCGACAGGCAGGGCAGGGCAGCGCTGTAGCCAGCAGGGCGGCGCGAGGCTAGTTGGGCGGCGCGACGGGCAGTTCAGGGCGGCGCGGCAGTTAGCAGGGCGGCGCGCGGCCAGCAGGGCAGCGCGACGGGCAGGGCAGGGCAGCGCGACTGGTGGGGCAGCGCGACGGGCAGGGTAGGGCGCTACGAGCAGGGTAACGCGCTACGGGCAGGGAACTATTCGGTCGGTCCTAGAACAGGACCTGCTATGAAACCATGTCAGAATACTGAACGAGAATGAACTAAGATCAAAGTAGGTACAAGTACTAACCCTAATTGGGTTATACCCCTTATGGGCTACCCCACTACAGCCTACACATATAAGCATCATAACATTTTGACAGCTGTTACTTCGCTGTAGTTCGCTTCGCTTACATTGTAGTGCTCGACACATCAGAAGCGCGAAGTATATGTTTCCAACAAACCCATCCTATAATAGAGGCAGGTTACAGTGCTTTAGGGTTGCAAATGCAATAGCGATAGCGAACGAGCAACACTGGTACACGGTACAATACACTGAATCCTTTTCTGAATTTCATCCTTGAAAACGGTAAAAAAAGACAGGCCAAAATGAGTCATGTCACAGCCCCCCTTATGCATCCCATCCCATCCCCTCTGTGAGAGTACGCCGACGTTCGACATATTTCTCATTTCCATATTTTTACTCCATCTTATTCTCCTTATTTTCCTCTTTTATTTGCACTTTTTTTCACCTCAATCGGACTACTATTCTATTTTCTAGAGCTTTCCGATTATTTCACGTATTTGGTATTTTCGGCACCGACATTTACATTATACGGCACCGACAGCACCGACAGTGGTGTACAATGTTGGAAACCAAAGGGAAGTTAGAAACGAGAAAGAGGGTTTTCACTAGCAGGCAGTTGAGTACATATAGCAAACCCTAGATTGGGTTGTACTCACTATTGAGTACCCCACTGCAGGCTAGACAAACATAACATTCTGACACACCCCCATAGCCAAAGTGGGGTGTAATCAGCACAACAAGCAAAGTAAAGCAAAGACAAGCTCAGGGTGGATCACAATGTCACCACACATTCTGAGCACGAGTACAAGAAGTAACAGTTTATAGTTCACAGCAATAAGTAAAGCTAGAGGCTATCACAGAGGACAAGTGAGGAGGAGGAGGCTGGACTGATAGGAAAGGAGAGAGGAGGCAACGGCTGAAGCTGCAGACACACGGGCAACAGGAGCGGCGCGCACTGTGGCTACCGGAAGCGCACCTCCGGACTACAGGAGTAACTGGCTCCGCGGCTAAGACGAGCGGCAGGAGCAACGGACCCACGGGCGACTGGCGCAGCAGCATCACTGGGCTACCGGAAGCGCACCTCCGGACTACTGGCACTGCTGGCAACACGACAGCTACTTCCCTTCAACCTCCCCCACTGTCGCACCCCCCTTTCACACACCCCCCGCTGCACCCCTAGTTTCACTCCCACACGACACACCCCCTAGTGCCACTCCATCGTCTCCCACACACCCACCCCCCTCAGCGGCAGCTGCAGCAGTGGGAGACGGAGGAGGAGGAGGAGTAGGGGAGACCGCTCACATCCGTCACCCCCACACTCGCCACCCCCAAACCCCAACACAGGGCAGGGCAGCAGCAGGGGCGGCAGCTGGGCAGGGCCGCGACTAAGACGGGGGCAGGGCCGGGCAGGGCAAGGCCGGGACAGGGCCGGGGCAGGACGCCAGGGCCGGGCAGGGCCGGGGCAGGACGGCAGGGCAAGGCCGGGCCGGGCAGGGCCGGGACAGGGCCGGGGCAAAACGGCAGGGCCGGGGCAGGACGGCAGGGCAGGGCCGGGCCGCGATGAAGACGGGAGGGGCCGACGCGCGGTCCCCCCAGGGCGCCGTGACGGGCGACAGAAGGGGGGGACGCGCGGCCCCCCCAGGTCGCCTCGACAAGCGATGGGAAAAGGCAGGGGGGGGGGGGGTGCGCGGACCCCTGGTGCGCCTAGACAGGCGACGAAGCTGCCGCACGCCTCGGGGCGCACGACGGGCAGGCCACCGTCGCGCGCCACGGGGCGCACGACGGGCAGGCAGGTAGAGCACCGTCGCGCGCCTCGGGGCGCACGATGGGCAGAAAACCGCCGCGCGCCCTCAGCGCGCGGCGGGAAGAAAAATTGCCGCGCGCCACGGGCGCGCGGCAAGCAGAAAGGCAGCGCGCGCCCGAGGCGCGCGATAGGCAGTGATGACAGCGGAAGCTTAGGTGGGCCCATGCACAGGATCGACTCAGGGTCGACCTGCTCTGATTCCATGTTGGAAACCAAAGGGAAGTTAGAAACGAGAAAGAGGGTTTTCACTAGCAGGCAGTTGAGTACATATAGCGAACCCTAGATTGGGCTGTACTCACTATTGAGTACCCCACTGCAGGCTAGACAAACATAACATTCTGACATACAAGGCGTAATCTCGCCATAATCCGAAGTGCCAATGGGCTTGCGTGCTTATGCGCACTTGTGATTATCTATTCTAGAAGAGCGCGTTCCCGAAGGTTCGGATTATCTGTTGTTTCTATGTATTTCTGAGTATAAATACGCCTTGTACTCACCTTTAGTGCAACATTCTCGAGTGGAAATTCGATCCTGTGACACCCTCCCATGTTGCATTGCACAATATGTACACAAGTAGTAATGGTCCTGCTCAGCTCATGCATGCGTCCACCACAGCAGCAGAGCAACACAGGAGCATGACACCAATACGCATCACTTTGTTTCAGCCAGCAGCAACGTTGCCAGGGCTTCACAGATCTCAGCAGGCGTGGCATCCACCTCCTCCTCGCCCTCACTGTCTCCTCCCATCATGTCCTTGGTGCCCTCTGCGACCCCTGTCGCCGCTGCTGCAACAGCACCGCCCACAGCAGCCGCAGCACCCCTAGCCCCGCTGGGCAGATCACTGCTGTTGCTCATGTTACTGATGCTGTTGCTGCCACTCGGCACACTGCCACCACTGCTGCCACTGCCACCACTGCTGCCACTGCCACCACTGCTGCCACTGCCACCACTGCTGCCACTGCCACCACTGTTGCCACTGCCATCGTTGTCACCACTCTTGCTGCTGCTGTAATTCCCATCCCCAACGCTACCACCACCACCACCCTCCACATCACCACCACCCCCCACCTCCCCTTCCTCCCCCACACCATTCGCCCTGCGACTCTGCCCCATGGACGGGAACACCATGAACCCATGGTCCATCTTCCTCTTAGCCCGCACCACAATTGACCCCGGCACCTCCGCATCGGCCCTAGTCACCAGCCCATCACTCTCCGCGCCATATCGGTTCTCCAGGTACAGGGACAGCGCAGCCAGGGCAGCGGAGAGAGGGAAGGCGAGCGCGAGCTTTTGCGAGGTGCGGGCGAGCCAGGGGATCTCTGTGTGCGTGATGGTGGAGAGGGACGCTATGACTGCTGGGGCGCGGGAGGCGTTGGTGTGGAAGGAGAGGCACGGGATGGAGGAAGGGAGCGGGTGGTGCTCCAGGAAGGCGCGGCGGCGTGCGTAAGTGAGGTCTTCAAGACAGCGAATGTCACCCTGGGATTGGGGGACGGGGGAGGGGGGGAAACAGGGAAGGGATGCGCGAAGGATGGGAAAGGAAAGGGGAGGAATGGGGGAGGAAAAAGGAGAGATGGGAGAGGGATGGGGAAGGGGCGAGGAGTGAGGTTGGAGTTTGGTGGTGGCGACAAGGTAGGAAAAAGCACGTGGGGTTAGCGGCTTACCGTTCTCGATGTATTCTCAATCTCTCCATGAAATTTCTTTCTATCTCTCTTCGAAATTGTTTTCTTCTCTCCTAGAAAATGTTCTCATTCCACCAAAACACCGCTTTCATTGCACCAGAATACCAGCACCACCTTACCCTGACCATTCTACCCACCAAAGCCCCCACCCACCCACCCACTCACCGACCCCCCATGCACCCCCCAACCCACCCACCCCCCACGCACCACCCCCGACTGACCTTGAACAGCTTATCCAGCAGCAGCTCCAGCATGGACCGCAGAGTGCCATTCCCCAGGGAGCCCTCTCTGAGAATGTCGGAGGCCATGGGCGTGCCACCGTACGGGCTCTGCATGCACACCAGCCCCGCCACCGTGCTGCTGTTCAGCTGTGACGGGAACAGCGCCAGTGCTGCTGCTGCGTCCAGCCCGCCCTTGCTGTGCCCTATCAGCAGCACCCGCCGCTGCCTCTTGCTGCTGCTGCTGCTGTTGCTGCTGCTGTTGCTGTCAATAATCCCCTTGCCGCTCTTTCTGTGTCCGTTTCCCATGCCACTGCTGTTGCCCGTCTCACCATTGCTGCGCATTGCCCCCTCCCCCACCCTCTGCCGTTTGGCACTCTTCTCGTCCCCGGCAGCAGCACCGCTGCTCCCTTTGCTGTCACTGCCGCTGGTGCCACTGTCCTGGGAAGGGAAGCCATGGGCGTAGATCTCCTCGCCCTCATCCGCCTTCCCAGCCAGCAGCGCTGTCACTGTGTCCCACAGCACACGCGCGTTTGCCTCCACACCCGCCTGGTGCCATGAAAGGGGGATGGGATGGGATGGGGACGTGCGCATGCACAAAGGAGGCGAGTTCTGAGTGAATTCAAAGCACATGTGTCCCTCAGCTCAGCACACGCACGTTTGCCTCCACTCCACACCCGCCTGGTGTCACAGGAGGGGAATAGGGACGCACACACAAACAGGGGTTCTGGTGCATTTGAGAATTCTCAAAACTTTCTGGTGCACATGCACCGAAAGCGAGCCTTGAGTCGGCTCAAAGCACATGTGCTTGGGTTTCCACACCTGCCAGGGAGTGATGAGAAGGGGGTGGGACGTGCACTCACACTAGAGGTTTTGGACGCCTGGAGAAAAATGCACAAATAGAGGTGCCTGTAAAAGAGTTCCACGCATCCACTGGTGTGATGACGACGGGAGGACAGAGTCAGAGGCAGGAGGGCCGTTAAATGTAGAGGCAGGGGGAGGAGGGATGAGCGAGGCGGGAGGAGGGATGAGCGAGGCGGGAGGAGGGAGGAGGGAGCGGAGGGTACGGGAACAGACTGACAGGAGCCAGGAGTGGCGAATGGCAGAGTGAATGAGTGCTACAAGAACTTCCACCGCACAAAGGGACGCTCTCCGTGAGCCACGAGTGAGGGACCGAGGGACAGGGGGGTGTGGGGGCATGAGTGAGGGGAAGCAGCAGCAGGGAGGTGGAACGGAGGTGGAGGGTGGGTGGGGGAAAGAGGGGGGGAAGAAAAAGGGAAGGGAAAGATGGGGAAAGAAGGGGCGGAATGGAAGTGGGGCACGCAGCGCAGGGAATGGAAGCTGTGTGTGGAAGTGAAGCGCACCTGGCTGTCGATCTTGGCGATTTCACATGTGAGGCCCAGGGAGGAGAAGTGCTCCCTCGTGTCTAGCAGATACAGCGGACTCAGATTGCTGAACAGCCCTGCTACCCACACATGCACCCATTGCACACACACATGCGCAGTCACACAGAGGAAAAATCATGACGTTGTGGAATGTACGAGGAGATGGCGTGTTGTGGTAGCAGCATGGCAGGAAGGAGATGCTTGTGGAATGTACAAGGCGCGCTCTGCAATCAGGTGTGCGTGAGGCATGGCTTGATAGAAGCCGAGGAGTCCCGAATGGGGCAAGTGAAGGCAGCCTGGTGCGTGCAGGGAGAGTACTTGGGAGTGTACGTGCATACACCATGGGAGTGAGGGATGGTTTGTGATATATAGCGAGCAGGTATGTGCATGCAGATGGGGAAGGCTTTTGCTAATGGTGGGTGAGTGCACAAATGGAAGAGAGGGAAGGAGGATGTGTATGGTGAAGATATGGTGAGTGCTTGAAAGGACGGGCCACAATGGCATAGAGACAAGAGTATGGGACAGGCACGAGAGATGGGGAGGTCAGGGAGAAGGACGGGCGGGAGATGGGGAGTATACAGCAGAGGGATTTCAGTGCGAGGGGTGATGAATTGATGGGAAAGCAGGCGGGCGTGAATGCAGCGGGGCGTGAAAGCAGGGGAGAGAGGGCGCACCTGGTATGAGGAGGTAGATGAGATCGTGAGGGAGAGAGTTATGGCCCTGCCTGGTGATGCAGGATCGGGGATGCGTGCAAGAAAATAGACATGCATTCGACCATGCATGCACACACGCATGGGCATGGTCAGAACAAGAATACCCACACATGGCCATATGCACAAAGTTGCACGGAGACAAGCACGCATCCACACACACACATGCACGCGCGCATGTCATGCCATACAAGCACAGGACAAGAAGAAAGAGGGCAGACGATTGAAAGAGGGAGACAGGCAGCACGGACATAGATGGGGGGCCGTGGAAATGAGGAAGTGAAGTGAGGAAGTGAGGAAGTGGGGAAGTGAAGAGAGGAAGTGAAGTGAGGAAGTGAGGAAGTGAATAGCATGGGAGAGGAATGAGACAAGGGAGGCAGGAGAAGGAGGGGAACGAACAGAGGAGGAGGTGTTACTGCGGGTGGTGAGATCACAGAAAAAGACCTGGAAAATGACTTCTGGATCAACTAAAAAGCACAGAGTAGCAGAGAAAGCGTCGCAGCATCACAGTATCAAAGCAGTAGGGCAACTCACATGACTTGGCGCAGCGTGCGTGCGTACTGATCAGTGCGGTCCCTGACAGCAGGCAACTTGGGGTGATTGCACAGCCAGCCTATGTCCGTGGTGGAGCCGTGCACCAGTGTGGTCATCGCTGCCACTATGCTGCTCGCCCAGGGACAGGGGGGAGAGATGGGGTGAAAAGGGAGGGACCATGGAGGAACGAGGAGGGATGGGGAGGGATACGGGGGGGACAGGGAAGGACGGGGTGGAAAAGGAGTGGGGGAAGGGGAACAAGGTGGAGAGGGAAGAGAAGTGCGGGATCGGATCGGGACCAGCGTGCAGCAGTGTGCCATTGCTCCCACTATGGTGAAAGGGAGTTTCGGAGGAGAAAGGTGAGGGGAGACACGGATGGGATGCGTGGTTTAGAAAGGACGGGAATGAACGATCACTGTGCGGCTGCCCTTGGTATCACACGCACACAATGGCGCCATGTGCTGAACTGAAGCCCTCACGACTGCCACCGCAGCCACTGTGCTGCTCTCCCTTGCATTTTGCATGTCCGATTCACACGGAGGGACCATATGTGTGCGTGTGATACCAAGGGGCAGCCAGCAAGTGATGCCTTTTGAGTCGACTGGAAGATCATCTGTGCTGCTTTCCCTTACGAATGTCCCGCTCTCACACGCACGAGCATGTGTGTATGCCAGACCAAGGGGCAATCCGCAAGCGCTTCCGACCCTCCCACTCTCCCACTCCCCCACCCTCCCACCCACCCTCCCACTCCTCCACCCTCCCACCCTCTCATCTTCCCACCCTCCCACTCTCCCACTCCCCCACCCTCCCACCCACCCTCCCACTCCTCCACCCTCCCACCCTCTCATCTTCCTACCCTCCCACTCCTCCACCCTCCCGTCTTTCCACCCTCCCACTCCCCCACCCTCCCACCCTCTCATCTCCCACCCTCCCACTCCCCCACCCTCCCATCCTCCCATCTTCCCACGCACCCACTCCCCATGCGCACATACATACCTCTGCCAGGAGATGGCCGGCACAATGGCATCGGGCAGCGCGGGCAGCGGAGGCATCGCGGGAATCGTGGGCATTACGGGCATTGTGGGGAGAGCGGGCAGCACGGGGAGCGATGGAAGCATGGGCAAGGGGGGAAGCGATGGAAGAGAGGGGGGAAAGGCGGGCCAGGAGGAGTCAGAGGGAGCAGCAACGGAGGTGGCAGAAGGGTTTATTTCATGGCTTGATGGTGGGGGGGAGGAGGAGGAGGAGGGCGAGGAGGGAGAGGGAGGGGTGGAGGGAGAGGATGGAGGAGGAGCGAAGGGAATTATCATGGTGGTGAGCTCTGCCAGTGCAGAGAGGAAGCTCGACGGGCTGCCACCATCGCCACCGGTTGCGTCGCCGCCGTTGTTGCTGTTGCTGCTGTTGCTGCTGTTGTCCTTGCCAGGGGATGGTGTGGGTGCTGCACACATGGTGATGGGAAGAGGGGAAGGTGTGGATGGGAAGAGCGGAAGTGGGTGAGGAAGCGGCGGGGACTGGGTCCCACCATCCAACAACACTACCCCTTCCCTCACACATCTTACCCCGTCCCCACACACTTGCACAGATACCCGCAGCGCAGGTGCATTCACGAGGGAAAACTACTGCAGATGAGGTGAGGGGATGGATAGAGGGAGCGGCTGGGAGCAGTGTGCATGTTTTTGAGCCTACTCAGCGGCACCTCGTTTCATGCATCGGGACGAGGCGGATGGTGGGGTTCCGAACGGGAGTGCGCAGCAAGGAAAGGGGAGGAGGGAGGGACGAGGAGCAGCAGAAGAAAAGCAGAGGGGAAGGATTAGAGGCCTTACAAATGACGGGAAGTACACTGCTGTTCGTCACTGTGGCCTGCACGCACACAAGATGAGATGAGGGGAACAGGGAGGAACCGAGATGAGGAGACGAGACAAGGGGAACCAGGGGGGAAAAGAAGCCGAGGGGAAGGGAGAAGGGCCGCAGAAGAGGGAGCAAGGAAGGATGGGGCAAGAGACTAGAATGAGGAGAGGCGAGAGATGGGGTGGGCGGAAGGGGCGAATAAGTAGAGGCATGGTGCGGGAAGTGAGGGTGGGTGGGGATGGAGATTTGATGGTGGGCAGAAGAGCACGACATGATATTGCCACGTGTGCACGGCAACCTTGTTGCACAAACAAACACACATCACTCCCTCAAATCTCCCACCATGCGTCCACCCACACTCCCACCCACCCACCCACCCACCTACCCTTAGTGCTTGCAGCGCCAGCAACACCTTTCCCCCTCCACCAATCACCCCTTCATGCTCCCCCTCCTCTCCCCCTCCACCTCCTCCGCTACCGCCACCCCCTTCCCCCCCTCCGCCTCCCCAAATCCCCCATCCGCCATCCCCATCCCCAAACCCCCCGTCTCCCCCCACCACGGCAGCAACCCCACTCGCCCCGCCACTGCTGCTACTCCACAAATGCCTGCGCGCTCCGCTCCTTCCGCCCGCCCCGTCACCCCCTCTGCCAGTCGCTCCGCCAATCAGTCCGCCAATCGGCCCGCAACACTCACGCCCTAGGCTGTGGTTTCGTCTTCGATCTCCCCATCCGTCGGTCGGAATCCCAAGCCCACCAATCGGCCCTTTCCTGCCGCCTGCCAGCTCGCTGCTGCTCCGCGACCGCGCCACGAGGCGCGCCGCCGCCTGGAACGGCGCGGCTTTGCTCAACGACTCGTTACTGAGCGACGATCCGATACGGTTTAGTGAGGTGCCGCGCTGCTGCACGGTTGCTAGCCGCGCACTGCGGCTGCTGCGCGACAAACCAGCAGGGCGCAAGTTGCTCCCGGAGGCCGCGTGAACGGCGCCATTGATGGCGCCGATAACGGCCGCCGGCATCGTAGCAGCGCGCGCAGCCGCCGTGGTCGTCACAGCCGCAGAGGCGGCGGTAGCGGAAGCGGAAGAAGCAGCAGAGCTTGCGCGGGGTGCAGGTGGGAGCAGCAGCAAGGGGGATCCCGCTCTCCGCTGACCAGCAGCGCCAGCCACAGCGGAAGCGGAAGCGGCAGCGGCGGCGGAGGCGGCTGCGGCGGCTACCGCGGTGGCGGCAGGTGGCGATGCGTGATCTCCCCCGCTGGTAGTGGCACTCCGGAAGGAGGGGATCAGGGCCACGCGGATCGACGACGATGCTACGAGCGAGAGCAGCGGCGCGACTCGGTCCTTCGCCTTCTGCATGAATGGCGCGCGCGCGAACGTGCGAGGAAAGGAAAGGCCGCTACTATGGCCCAGCGGTAAAAAGCAGGGGCCCGTGTAGGGAAGGCGGGAAACGCGGAAAGGGGAGGGCGCGGAGACGAGCGCGAGAAGTGGTTGCTGACGGGGAAACGTCGACAGGGTGAGTAGATCTACGGGGTGACTTCAAGTGCGGGAAACAGAATCGCTCGGCCGTGACTCGTAGAGCTTACCCAGTCGGCTTGTGAGAAGGACTTGGGAGGATGTGGAAGAAATAAGGACGGGGATTCATCCGTAGAATCCGCCGGAGTGAGGGCGGGGGGTGTGCATAAGTGACCGACAAACGGGCAGCCGGGCATTGGAGGAGAGGCGAGAGGGAGGGACCAGACCAATCAGAGGGGTCCCGGTGAGCTACAGTGATGTGTGCAGCCGTGCATGATTGGTGCGCTGTGACGGCGCGCGAGCCAAGGACATACAGCTGGTAGGCACTCTTGGTCTGTGTTGTCCATAAGGAAGCTGCCAGCGTTTGATTCACGTGGTAACTAGGCGTGAATATGGGTGTGAAAGATCTACACGTTTTCCAGCTTTTATGAAATACTTGATAGCTAGCAATTCTATAACAAACAGGTCAAGATAAGGAGCCGGGAAGGGGACGCGTCCCCTCCCTCGATCAATTGCAGGATCGCCAGGAAAAAACAATCGGGCACAATCATCGCATGATTGGGGCACGGTTGGGTGGACGTGACAGCAGATAACTAATCGCATGTTGGATTTGAGCCCCAAGTGACAGGCTCGATATTGTGTTAGGGTCTAGAGTTGAGCGATCATTTCAAAGAGTGGCAATATTTATGTCGCACCGAAGTATGGATGCCATGCGATAAATTATTTATGGCATCCGGGTTACCCTGTGAACTGTACGACGTACATCGAAATTGCTACGTGAATGTGCCACGGCGATCGATCGTGGCTGCCACCGAGTGCACGAGCCTGGAGCTTGCGATCAAATCACACGATCGGTATTTGCTCGTTGGGCCAACGATCCGCGATCACAGGAGGTCATAGGCTCAAGAAACGCATAGTAATGCACATTCGTGATCTGACCCTCATATTCAATTGAAGGGACGCTGATCCATCAGCCTCCCTGAAGAAAAAAAGGCTTAGGGTACGTTCCTGGTGTTAAGAAGCAGAACGAGAATGAATGCATTGAGAAGAAACCGAGTAAAGTACTAACCCTAATTGGGTTGTACCCCTTATGGGCTACACCACTACAGCCTACACAATATAAACATTATAAGAGTTAGACACACCCCCATAGGCAAAGTGGGGGAGAACAGGGGGTCACAAGACCAGTCAAGAAAATGCAAAGCAAGCTCAGGGTGGATCACAAAGTCACCACACACTCTGAGCACAAGCAAATGGCCACAAGGCCAGTTCACATGCAAAATTATATAAAAGAGAACAAAAAGTACAGTGATCATACCCTAGAAGGGGTAAGCATGCAGGTATAAGTACATAGATCACAGTACAAGCAAAGTCACGCAGTAAGCAAGTGAGGCAAAGTAGGCACAAGGCCTAAAACAGTACAGAAACGCTGATGATCACCAGGCTGAAGTGCCTTGGTGAATATATCAGCAGCGTTGGCCCTAGTGGCCACGTACGCAAGACGAAACTGACCACGCTGCTGCAACTCTCGAGCAAGGAAGTAACGCAGAGCGATGTGATTCGTCCTGTGCTCCAGTCTGCGCTCCTTACATAAGGCAATCATAGCCTTGTTGTCTACGTACAGAACTGGAGGAGAACGAGACCTCTCTCCCAAGTCACTCTGCAGGTAGATGAGCCAGCGTAACTCCTGTGCAGCCATGGCCCCTGCGTAGATCTCAGCCTCACAACTGGAACTGAGAACAGAAGACGAGCGGGTAGACCGCCAAGAAACAGAGCCGGAGCCAAGGCTGAAAGTGTAACCCTATGACGACCGCTGCGTAGCCAAGTCGTCAACCCAAGACGTGTCTGCGTATCCAGTGAGGACAACTGGATCCCGTCCTCCAAGCACGAGCCCCATGCCCGATGTACTGCACAAGTAGCACAACACCCTCTTAGCGGCCTCCCAGTGCTCTTGTCGGTGTCTCCTGGGCGCTACGTAGCGTGCCAGGATGCTAAGAGGGTAGGCAAGGTCAGGTCGAGTGCAGGTCATCAGGTACATGAGGCAGCCCACAAGTGCTGGATACGGGCCACTCGGCTCTACGGACTCGACTGAAGGTGAAGCTGAGAGCAAATGACCGGTAGGCAGAGGAATGGATTGTGGCGAGGAGTACCGGAAGCCGAAGCGCTGAAGGACCTGGTGCACCATGTGTGACTGAGTCAGGGTGATGGTGCGCCGTGCTCTGTCCCGGGTGATCTACAAGCCAAGAGAGCTGCGCAGCTCACCCAGATCAGTGCAGGTGTCTCTCTTCTGCAGCTCCAACTTCACAAGGGCCAGTGCCTCAGTGTCAGCAGTAGCAAAAACCAAGTCGTCGACGTACACGAGGATGTAGAACGGTGGTAGCGAAGTGTCGGTGCGCAAAAACAGCGATGGGTCAGCAGTCGAAGGAGCAAACCCAAGAGCCGAAAGCGTCGTCCTCAGTGTGTCGTGCCACTCGCGAGGCGCCTGGTGGAGACCGTAGACTAGCCGCCGAAGGCTCCACCGGGTACCTACAGGAAACGACCCAGTGAAGCCAGGTGGGCGGCGCAGCCAGATCTCCTCGTGCAGGCTGCCCTGTAAGAAAGCTGTGCTGGAGTCAAGAGAGTGAAGCTCGTAGTCACGCTGAGCGGCGACGTGCAGCAGCACCCGAAGAGTGGTCATCTTCGGGGTAGGGGAGAAGGTCTGGAAGAAGTCAACTCCCTGTCGCTGACTAAAGCCTCGTGCAACGTAACGAGCCTTGAAGACATGCGGAGAACCTGATGGCCGCTTCACCCTGAAAATCCACATGCCATCGACTATGTTCGCCCCAGAAGGGCTAACTGCGTCGACGTAGGTGCTTGTGGACTTCCAAGATGCCATCTCTGCATCCATGGTTGTCTGCCACTGAGAGGAGTAGGGACCCGTAATCGCCTCTGTGTAAGAGCGCGGGGTCGGGATGTCTGGTGCATCCGGGTCTCCCTCAGGTGCAAGCAGCATGGCCACGAGATGAGGTACAGCAGCTGCAAGACACTCAAAGTCCTCCTACATGTCCTCAAGGACGTCCGTGCCAAGAGCACACTCAACCTCGACGGACGGAGGACAATCAGACTCAGACTCAGCAGCAAGACTAGCGGCGTAGTCGAGACGAGAGGTGGCAGCAAAGTCAACAAGCTCAGCAACTAGGGCAGACGCAGTAGTGGACTCAAACGAAGGGTCAGTGACAACAGTGGCTAGAAGACGTGTGACAGTAGGACTGGTAGCACGAACTAAGTCAGACTCAGGGTCCGGAGCGTCAACAAGAGAGGACTCAGGAGGAGACGGCAGGGGAACACGCAGTGGAACAGAGGAAGGACGAAGTGCCATAATGTGAGTGCCCGGGACAGGAGGAGGACGCGGACGAGGAACACGTCGACCAGTGCGAATAGCGGAAACAGGCGAGGCAGTACGAGACTCATGCTCACGACGCTCTGTAAGAGAGTCTGTCAGCTCAGCGTAAGGAGAAGGAGCAGGTAGTGGGGAGTCTAGCTGTAACTGTGGCTGCGAATGGTGAGGCGGTGGACACAACAAGCAAGGAGTAAGGCCAGTAGAAGACGGGAGACTAAGAACCAGGCGAAGGACCGAGCCAGGTGGCGGCAGAGACGACGGCGGCGGCGGAACGAAAAACGGTCACCGCTGTACAGTGCCTCCAGCACCAGTACCGCCAGCTCCAGCACCCCCAGTGCCAGCACCTCTAGCTCCAGGGTCTCCATCTCCAGCGCCTCCAGCTTTTGTGCCTCTAACTCCAGCTCCTCAAGCTCCAGCACCTCCAGCGCCAGCGCCTCCAGCTCCAGCGCCTCCAGCTCCAGTGCCTCCAGCTCCAGCTCCAGCTCCTCCAGCTCTAGCGCCTCCAGCGCCAGCACCTCAAGCTCTAGGGTCTCTAGCTCCAGTGCGTCCAGCTCCAGGGTCTCCAGCTCTAGTGCCTCCAGCTCCAGCGCCTCCAGCTCCAGCGCCTCCAGCTCCAGTGCCTCCAGCTCCAGCTCCTCCAGCTCCAGCGCCTCCAGCGCCAGCGCCTCCAGCTCCAGGGTCTCCAGCTCTAGTGCCTCCAGCTCTAGGGTCTCCAGCTCTAGTGCCTCTAGCTCCAGCGCCTCCAGCTCCAGTGCCTCCAGCTCCAGGGTCTCCAGTTCCAGCGCCTCCAATACCACGAGCTCCTGCAGCTCCAGTACCTCTAGTACGACCACCTCCAGGATCAGCAGCTCCAGTACCTCCGGTACCTCCAGCTACAGCAGTAACTCCAGCACCTCCAGGACTAATCGCTCCAGCACCTCCAGCTCCAGTGCCTCCAGTGGAAGGGCCTCCAGCTCCTGCGCTCCTAAGGCGTGTGCGCCGAGCTAACCACTCTCGCAACTGCCGCGGTGAGAAAGGCTCCCGCTGGCGAGACTGTCCTGGCGAGGCACCCGCAGGACCTCCGGCAGACGCTGTACCCCTAGGCTCAACACCCCCAGACTCCGCACCCTCAGACTCAGCACCCCAAGGCTCCGCACCCTCAGTCTCAGCACCCCCAGGCTCCGCACCCTAGAGCTCAGCACCCCTAGGCTCCGCACTCGCAGGCTCAGCACCCCCAGGCTCCGCACTTGCAGGCTCAGCACCCCCAGGCTCCGCACCCGCAAGCTCAGCACCCTTAGACGCAGCACACTCAGACGCAGCACCCCCAGACGCAGCACCTGAGTCGACAGCTACCTCAACAGGTACAGTACAAGGGAGAGGGTCTACCTAAGACAAACTTGAGGGAGCAGGACCCTAGGGGGGGAGGGGGTCTACCGGAGGGGGACCTGGAGCAAGGAAGAGCTGCGGGGGTGGGGAAGGGGCAGAGCGGTAGGGGAAGAGACGGTAAAAGGGAACCGACTCGTCAAACGTGACGTCCTGAGAGGGGAAGACACGGCGCGAGGTGGGGTGGTAAAACTGCCAGCCAGGCACGTCACGGGGAATGCCAAGGAAGACACAGAGAATAGCTCAGGCGGAGAGCTTGTCTGCTGACATATTGCAAACAAAGGCACGAGAGCCCCAGACCCGGAACATCGACGCATCGCCAACCTCCCCCGTCCAACGCAGTGTGGGCGAGGTCTCCGGCAAAGAGACTCGGGGCCAGAGGTTGAGCTGATGCGCAGCGTACCGGACCGCAAACGTCCACAGAAAATGGGGAGCAGCCGCATGGATCATGGAGGT